TTACTTATTCCTTCATATTTTTGAATTTGCTGCCTTTTTGAATTACTAGTTGCTTCTTTTAGAAGTGATACTTCATTACCACAAAGAAACGCACAATGGACATAACCAGGCAATCACTTATTCTAATATTCATTAATTCAAACTATAGATACCAGAAATAAACGCATTTGTTACAGTTCATAACCAAATATGCGAAGATTAAAATAATACTGAGACACGAGCTGTGGAATCACAAATGTACAAGAATGTCCCAAATTTCATTTCATCAAATGTCCCAGTTGTTTTCCCATATCACCAGACCAGAGGCCTATAAAGCTCAGCCCTATGAATCTTTGGTCCTGGGACAATGGAGTCAATGATGCACCAACCAGCCTGTTCCCTCTTCACCAGCTCCTGGGCATCTCTGCCACTAAAATCAAGGCTTGCACAGCAGCACCCATGTTGGTGCCTTCCCAGTGCTCAGGTCTGTGAAGCCTGAGCTGCTCAGGAAAGCCCTATACTGCATCTGCACCCCAGGAGGAGAGGAGAACAATACTGGAATTGCAGCACAGATGCTTCCTACTCTCCTGAGCTGCTTTACACCTTAGAGCAGCAGCTCCCAGTCTTCCCTGTCTCATGGGTATCGCCAAGCAATTAACACCTACAGGCACCACTGGTCAATTCCTTTCGATGCAGGCCGCAGCAGCACCAATCTTTGATCCAAATTCTTCTTTTCCTATGGCTAAATTTCCAACCAAAATCCTGTCCAGGAGCAACAGGTTAGACACCCTTCTTAGCCAAGCTACAACCACCATTTTTCTTAAATACATTGTTCTGTCTCTGTGTTGGAAACAGACTGGTCTGTTTCTCCTCCATACATCTTGCTTAGCATTTTTTAATTTCAGACATTTTAGGAATTATATAATGCTTCAACATCTTAAAAAAAAAAACAACACAAAGAAGTAAAATACCACTGAATTTTATCAAAAAGGATATTTATCATTATTTCATTTATGCAAAAGAATTTCTCTATGGACAAGTAACTCATCAGCAATACAAGAAAAAAAATCCAAATAATAAAAGTGTTTCCTCCAACAAGAAACCTCTTTAAAATATATTTTTAAAATTATCATCCCTGCAAATGGATTCTTAACTGAAGTGACTGCACTGGAACAGCTCACAAATTCAGGAGAAATACACTAGACAGAGGTTCTTGTGTTAATGCAAGAACGGACTCAGTTACCCAGCAGGTGTTCTTGCGTCTGTCTGTTTGGTTGAACTCTCTTAAATATAAATGAGGTGGGAAAAAAAAATAAGTTACCTGTCTGATTAAGCAAATTAGCTGATCCTTCCAAATTGGACCATCCTTCATTGTCATATGCAAATCTAAAAGGCCAGATCATGGCAGAGAAGTCTCTTTTTGGAACCTCAAAAAATAAATGAAAAAAGTCAAGTACAATTTGACTTCTATGTATCATACCTTAGCAGTCAACAACATCAGATATGTGGTGCCATAAAAGACATGCAAGAACAGATGTTTGAACCAATATATCTTCCCAATAAAACTGTCAGGATTACAGAAGATTCTAGGTACTTTTGAGAAAAATCTGCTATTAACAAGAGGAGAAAAATCATCACAGTTACAAAGAATTTGTAACAGTAAATTAACATGAGAGACTACACTTTTTTTCATCTTTTCTAAGAGCAACTACTCATTTTTTTTCCACTGTATAAGGTACTACAAACATGGATGACTTCTAAAAAGAAAGCCAGCTGTATATGTCTGTGTCCACATGTGAATATACATGTGCATGTGGGTGCATACACAGAATTTCTGCTTAGCTCTCATCACCTTTTCTGCATCTTTTCCTGTATTTGCCAGTGATTTATCAAACGAAACATTATCAACAGGAATACATAACAATAGCAAGTTTCAAAGGACTATTTCTGAACTGTCACCAAAAGACAAAAATCTAATTCATAATTGCAACCAGCGGCATCAAAAGTTCAATTTTATATTAGTAATTAAATCATAGAATGGAAATATGTTAATTTTTATCTAATCAAAAACGCTCTAATTTTTAATTCAAATTAGTAAAAAAGCAAGCAACATACTCAGACAACTTGTAAGTAATTGAAATGCTAAATTTTGCAAGCATTAAGCATCTTAATTGTTACTATGATAGCAGGATCTAATATTTTGCCAGACAGAAAACTGGTATCTTCCAATTTTTATCCAATTCCCATAACTAGTCTAAGTCTAATCTAAGTCAACCAACTTTTTAGAGAGGTTCAAATTAGAATTATGCATGTAAATAGAGAAGCACAATGTTCCTTGAGTTGGAATAAATCTTGGGAGGTTATCTGTTCAAACCTCCCTGATACAAGATCAGGCTGCTAACGGCATTGTCCAGTCAAGTTATGAATACAATTCAAATAAACTAATTTACAGAAGTAACATCTAACTTGAACATACGTGTGGAATCGTGACTTGCAGAGCAGGGTGATGTATTTTACTGACCATGAACAATCAGTACAGGCCTTAAGGTTCTTGTAGGCCTGAGAAAGTCTGTGAAAGGGGCCTTGGAACAGGAGCATACCCAAAATATTTAGAGATAGTGGATTCTGTTGGCGGTTCGCCCGGACAAGAACGCTAAACTATGGCAAAGCTGAATACAACAATTCTATGAGTTACATAAAGGCTGGCAGAGCACGTGGACAATAACTATTACCCAACCAGTAGCTCAGCTTAGGTGTGTGAACAGGCTTGTTAATCTGTGGGGCTCGGGGGGCTGTCTCTTGTCGACTATAAAAGGCTGTAATACTTTGCAATAAAGGGATTGGGCTGCAGACCCCTTGGAGAATGCATCTTTTCTCCAGAGCTCCTTCCCGTCACATATGAGGCAAGCATCTCTCAGTTTTTCAGAATATTTTTCCTTCGTAGCAGCATTATAAGTCTCCAAAGATCCAGACAGTGGCCATGTTCAACATGAACTTACAAATTAAAATTTTTGTATCTTCATTTCTGCATTAGTTTTGCTGAATGCTTCAATACTGGTACAAAGAATTCTTAAGCAACCAACAAATACACCTAGGATAATCACAAGTGCATTTTGCTGTACATCTGAAAACTACCATTTCCACCAACAAACTACTCACCCCTTGACCTAGCTTCTTCTGGTAAGTTTTATAACGTAGACCCAATCCCAGCAAACCAACACCAACAAACAGCCAGAGTACTTGAAAGAGAAAAACACAGAAAAGTTGTTTTTAAAGCAAGAGAAACTAACACTATTATTGCAGTTAGACAGAACTAGGTACACTCTCATTCTAAGGTGTGCTGCTCATAGAATGGGAAATATACATTTGAATTTCCACATAGGCTAGTGACAAAACCATTCCAAAGCAGTGTACTTAAGAGTATCTATATGCATGTAGAATATCTACATGTGTGCAGATACACTCACATTCTCCAGAACACAACAGGCTGTGCAGATACAATACACCAAAATCCCTTGGAATATTTATGTAAAAATGGTACCTACTGAAGAATACATTAGAGGAGATGAACAAGAGCATCCTGTAAACCTTCCAGAGTTTTCCTCTCTGTGTTCCAGGTATATATTTGTAGTATATATTTTTTTTTATTAATACTGTTGAATATTAATATTGTGGAAGAAAATTTAGGTTACTTCTCAAGCCTTTAGATTTCAGAAAGACGTGATCCCTGCCAGACCTCCAGAGCAGTCCTTTGTTTGACACACTCTTGGAAAGGCAGTGTGGCCTCACAGAATGCAAATTCAGAGCTTCTCCATTGTTCCTGTAGCCTTCCAAATAACCACAGTGGACACTTAAGAGCTCTCAGGGTTTGGCACATTGTAATTTGATGACCAAACTCTTCTGCAGTTATTTCATTTACACAGTGGCATACACTGCCTACAATGACTTCAGCAGTAACTCCAGTTTATTCTTTCATCAAATCTTTAAACAGAAATGTAATTATTTTTATGCAAGCTTCTCTGGAACAATTTTGTGTAAAATTTAAATAAATTTTATCATGGGTGATGTCAGAAGAAAGGACATGTTGTGCACAGTAGCAAATGTCAAGGAACTTCGTACTCTGCAGATGCAAAGGTGCTTGAAGGGGAAGCTGAGAATCCATGCAAGTCTGGGCACGACGGGGAAGTACGAGGGTTACTCTTGTAAGGTCACAAAATGAGCTGAGCAAGGGCTGTGCCTTGTCACAGACACTATTTTGAAGTATTTACTCACTTTTGTGAAATGTTTTTGAGTAGTAATATTAGTATTTATTAGTATTAATATTAGTAATATTAGTTTTTGAGTAGTAATATTCCAATCTGTTGCACTGGTGCTCTAACACACAAACTCTCATGGGCCACATTCTTCTGGCTCCTGACTACCCTTCATAAAGATCTCAGAAACAGCCCTGGGAAGTGGTGAAGCACTATTGTCTCTGCTTTCCAAATGAGGCAAAATGAGGTATGCAAATTATAAGTGGTTTCATCAAAGCCACAGAGGACAAAAAGGTGCAGGAATCTGAACCTTTAGCATCCTGATCTCTGTAGGGTTAGCATTCCCTAACACCTAGCAATTTTTTCCTTTACCAAACTTCACAATACTGACACTTTTTCCTTAAAGCTAACAAAGGAAAACAATCTGAATCTCAAATGACTGTAGATAAATACTTGAGAACATCATTTGGATGGATTCCAGAAGTTTAAAAGCTAAAAAGCAATAAAACCTCAAACATTTTAGTTTCTCTTCAAAGCCTAAGGAAAAAACCAGACCTCACACAGATCATCTGGAAAGCTGGGATGCCTAGGCACAGTTCACAGTTCACAGGCAGGAGATGACAAAAGTTTCCTGAGCCTAGTCTGGTCTGGACATGCAGCAAGGCGTAAGGACTGTGTTGTGACAGGAGCCCCAACAGGCTCTGCAGGACTGCCTCCTCACACAGGAGGGGTGTCACATTATACAGCAGCTTCTGGGCCAGCGAGTCCCGTCTCACAGCCCGCAAGCTCACACAGCCCTGTAAAGTTCAGTCACACTGAACTGCTCCAAAATCAACATACTAAACAGGCTGAGAAATAATTCCTATCTTTTGTATACACATGTAACAAATCCCAAGATCCTGAGAGGGCTCCTTCTCAATTGCCAAAATGAAACTGCAAATGATGCCAAATCCATGTGCACATTTCCACCCATTTAACTTCTTTTGGTCTCCATTTAACACACACCATGAGGAACAGCTTCTCTCTCAAACAGAATCATAGTCAACCAGCTTCTCCAGTAGCACATGTCATCATTAAAACTAGAACTAGAGCACTACCAACCACAAGCCTGGCTCTAAAACTAGCACCAAAAATCATTTCTAAAACACCTCAGCAAAATGCTCCCCTGTGTTACTCTTTTTCCTCAGACAGTATTCCTAGGGACATGGAAGAAAGGAAGTAAAATTATACTTACGTAGTTTAATATAGTTTTCACTCTTTTTGAATAGTGCCTTTTGATTGCTTTTCACTTCAAAGATAGAGCTAAGATCTCTCTTGGGTCCTGTCATAAACTCTGCCCCAATACATAACATTATAAACCCTGTAAAAATATAAGGCATTAGTTTTTTCATAGAGCTTTAACATATTAAACATTTCTCATAAATGCCCCATTCATAAACTCCTGCCTGTTGTGTTACTTTCAACCTTAATAGCTCCAACAAAAAGACAATTCTGAGCACACAGACAAATGCCACACCCAACACAGACAGGACAAGATTAACTGATAGGGAACATTCCACTTATCATTGGCACAGTATTCACCTCAGCTATCCCTGCAGCACTTTAAAAAAAGTTAATTTACATTGTTGTACTTGTTGACAGAAGTATAGCTTCCAACAAAGTGAGCTAGTGACATTAAACATACCACTAATTATAAGTATTTTTTAAAAAAAATTCAAAATAGCAGTATTACAAGAGGAATTCAAAGCTAAAAGATTATTCAAAGTGCCACTGGACACCTGTTTCGCACAAAAATAACAAAGTTCAAAATTATGCTGTCTGGGGAGAGGTTATGACTGTTGTTGTGGTTTGGATTTTTGGTGGTAGTTTGTTGTTTGTTTTTTTTTTTTTTCAAAAAAAAGCTGCTGGTAAGATTTAATATGCCTGGAACAGCCTTATTAAACCTGCTTTCTGCTGATGACTGAAGAGCAGACCTAATAGTAAAAGCATCTAGCCAAAGACCCCTTCACATTTATGAACTCTACTCTGGACTATGGTGAGCTCCAAACTACAGTCCACCTTTGGACCTTTGAGGCTGAGCACGAGGTGGGCTACTGACACTAAAGCAACTTAGAGCTGGTCTTGCTCTTCCCTTGCAACCCAGCAGCCTGAGGATCATGATCTTACCAGGTAACGTTGTGGACCCAGCATGAGGCTGCAATGGGTGCTAACCAAGCAATCCTCAAAACCCATCTCATTATTCACTGTGGAAATGCAGAGATATTTTAATTCTGCTGGCACTACTGGGTCCCGCTTCTGCATATTTTACCAGGTTTCTTCTGCTAGTGAAATATTTGTTCAGAGCCATTGCTCTCCCTTCCTCCATTCGTGTACCAATTGGGAGAACAATAAAACCAAAAATATTTTAATCCTTTGATCTCAGGCAAAGTAGCAAATTTCTTCCTCAAAAATCTTCTCCCATCCCTTATGAGCTCAAGGATCCAATTAACTGCAAAGAAACTGTGGGAGCATAATGAATTACATAAGAGCTCTGCTGGAGAAGGTATGTGTCCTTAATATCTTTGAGGTGTAGTTAATTAACTGTAGAAGGCCTGATTTATTTCAGAGTTATAGCTGAACACGAAAGAACAATTACTCAGTATTTTCTTATCACCCTTACTAGTTACATTAGTTGTAGAGTAAGCCAAAGTCAAACCAGGAAGGAGGGTCCAGTGCAGTGAAGAAGGGGGCACACACAAAACCTTTCTCAGAGGGAGACTGATTTAAAGCCATTAGAGTTGATGGAAGGCCAGGGATACAACCCCTCAGTGTTATGTTACATCACAGTAAAGCAGCACAGAAGTTTTGAAATTAATGATCTTACTTCCATTGTCACTTTTCCTGGTGCAGTTCCCTAC